TTTTACTATCAAAATAAAGCACTAAAAAACAGCCAAAACCGGTAGAGAGAGGCTGGTAAAGCTCTGCCAGCTGGTGCTGTTCTGTTGAAAAGCCAGTGGGAAGGGAGCATCCTGCAGGGATTCTGCTTCCAGCACAGCCTGAGGGAGGCCTTGAGCTGGCTACACTGCCCAGCACAGCCCTGAGCACCCTGCTGCTCCTGAATTCTTCCTGGCAGCTGCCACAGAACTTTTTAAAGGTAAACAGGAGACCAAGCAGGTTTGGCCTCGCTCCAGCAGGTGACCTGATGCTCACAGCATTGCATGGGAGTTCAGCTAGAGAAACTCAGAGATCCTGGCCTGTCAGATGAGCTGAAACGATGCTCTTTGCTCTGGTACTTCCCAACTACAGTTCTTGTTTTGGTGGGAGTTTCCCAGTTGGGATGGGCTGTGAAATTCCTCTCCTGTTTCTTGCAGTCTGAGGCTCTGCAGCAGCTCCGGAAGGACTCGGAGAGCATCCGGAGCCGGTACGCACACTACTTCGACCTCTCCCTGGTCAACAACGGGGTGGAAGAAAGCCTCCAGCTGCTGCAGGAAGCCTTTGAGCAGGCCTGCAGCTCTCCACAGTGGGTGCCTGTCTCCTGGGTCTACTGAGAGGGCAACCAGCCCCATCCGCTTCCCATCAACCATCCTGCAGCCATGGGGAGAACCCTCCTCTGCTTCCCCCGGTCCACACACAGCCCAGCACAACTCCCTTCCTCTGCTGCTCCATGGACATCGTCTCAATTGGTTGACACACACACACACACAGAGGGTGCCCACATCTCCTCTTCTGGGGGAAGGAACGCAGGACAGGGGCTGCCTGGGGGACAGCCACCTCCCATGGCACTGCAGGGTAAGTCAGTGGCTACAGCAGAGCCCAGGGCACCCCGTTAGCTCAGAGCACAGCTCCCTGCCTCACCAGGCAAGGGAAAGCACAGTCCTGCTGTAGCACCCACCTGATCTTCTCTGCACCAGTCCCAAGGGAAGTGGCAGGACAGGGGCTTTCCAGGCAGATGTCTTCTGACATTGCAGGAGTGCACACAAACAACCCAGACCCCTGCCTGGTGTCCATGAGGCTTCAAGGAAGCCCCACAGCTTAGGAGACCTCACACAGACAACCTACAGCCAAGGGTTTCCTCTCACTAACAGGGAAGAGTAGAAAAAGGCAGGCATGGATTTGATGGATGTGGCATGGAGCACCCACCCCCAGGCAGGCCTCACCCTGTGTTCCAAGGCTGGGGTTTTCTGATTCACCCTGTGCAACCATAGGTGTAAAAACTCACTCTATTGAAATTCTCACCGTGCAGCTTGGATTGTTACAGCCTGGCCAGAGAAACTCAGCAGCATCTGAGCAAGTCCCACAGACCAAACCCCAGAGGGACTGTTCAATGGGTAAATTACATCCAGCCACAAGTATCTGTTGCATGCAGTAGAAAAGTCTCTACAAAGATCATCCAGGCATGTTTTCCAGTCTAGGGTGTCTCGCACTCTGTATGCAAACATGAAAGCCATCCTCACCACGGGGTTCCTCCTGCAGGAGTGCACTGATGCACAACCCCCCCCCCCACGTCTGGGAAGTATCACTGTGCCTCCTGGGCAAACCACAGCCATCATGTAGGTGAAAATCTCATTTGTGTGTTCAGCTATAGGGGCAAGGGGAAGGTGGTTAAAAAGTCTTGTGCAATTTTTTTTTTTTTAAGAATGCCAAAAATAAAATCTATGTGCAATAGGGACCTTCGTTCTGATCCACTGCAGGGAAACAATGAGCAGCAATAAATGTGCGCTGAAACATTGCCATGGCTGGTGTTTTACCTCTTAGGCTGGGCACCTGCTCATGGCTGGTGCTCTGTTCCCACCTCCCTGACCCTAAAACACACTCAAGATGAGGCAGGCCAGGACCAAACAGTCCCTCCAGGCACCATGAGACCTCTCCAGCAGCTTCACAGCAGCACAGGCAAAGGAACGGAGAGAACACCCAGCTTCCAGGCACGTGCCCCAGGTGGCTTTTGCCAAAGTGGAGGGTGGCCCCATGGCACCTCCAAAGTCCTGAACAATGACAAGACCCCTGTAGAGATGGTCCACACCATCATAACCATTTCTCTGCACGTGGGAAGCTGCCTCCCCTCCCCATGAACAGACCACTGACCTCTTAAGAGGAGCCAGATGAGCGACAAAATAACACGGTTAAAAACAGGACTTTTATTTTTTATGTAAAAAAGAGGAAATAAAAATGGACCTTTTTTATTTTTTTTTTCCTGCTCAGGTTCTGACAGCCACCAGCTGCTGTCCCCACTGCCTGCATTTATCTCCAGCTATGGAGGGGAGGATAGACAGTTAAAAACAATGAATGAGGTTAAAAGTCACAGAATCTCTGCGGGGATGAATCTCAGAACAAAGCAGCCTGGATCCTTCCCCATTTAAAAGGAGCTAAAATCCTGGCACACTACCCCTGTGACTGAGAGATCTTTGACCCCCAGTAAGCCATTCCAGATAAGGAAATTAGGAAAAGTCTTTCTGAAACTGCTTAAGCCCAACACCCAATGCCCCTTGCAGAGCTGCCTCTGACCAAGCTTTTCCTGACAAGGACTCCAGTCCCAGTAGCCCTTTAGAAAAGCACACAGGCCAGTCACCCCCTGGTCACCCTCTGTCCCTCAGCAACATCCCCACTTTTAGCCTTCAGAGCACACTGGGCATCAAAACCAGGAAAGGCAACCCAAAGCCCTGCAGTTGCAATCCAACAAGTGGGTAGAGAGGAGCAAAGAGCCAGCAAGAGGTACACCCTGGCAAGGGCACTGGGTTTGGGGATCAGCTGACAAGCAACAAGCATATCCCTGGGCAATACAGCAAAAAGGAGGAAGTAAACGTTTTAACGTTTACCTTTTGTGAAAAAGGTAAAAAGAAAAAAGAAGGTATTGAAGAATATCTGGGTGGACTATTTCATTTCATGTAGGTCAAGCCAAGCTTGTGGTCAAGTTAAAAACAAAGCAGAGCCTTTTCAATAACTGATCTGACTGTCCCCATCCAAACCCATTCAGATGGGCTGTGACAAAGTCAGTCCTCCAGGCACCAATACATTCATGTAACTGTCAGGTAACAGTTTCAGCCTTGGAAGAAAAGGAAGAGGCAGTACTAGAAGGGGGAGAAAGATTATTCCACCCTCTAGGTGAAAACAGACATCAAGTAAGAGCTAGAAGCTACAGCTTCCCTGAAGATATCACTTCTATTGGCATCACGGTGCTCAGCTTTAGAGATCAACCCAGTGCAGGGACAGCCAGGCACCCCACTCCTCTGGCAACCCTTAAAACAGGATGAAGAGGGGCACCTGAGCAGGGCACATCCTGGGCAAACACACCCGCTCACTCATACACAGCAGAAAAGAACCTGGAGCTTGCTGGCCCCTCTGCCAACACAGCCAGTCCTCCTCTTCCCAAGGCCTCAGATTCCTCCTTCCTTAATGATGAGGTTGCCTGCTTTGGACAGATCCAGTTGCTTACTCAGAGCTCTCTTCGACCTCCTTTTGTTTCTTCTTCTTTTTCTTCTTGGTGCTGATCTCACTGGTCTGTGGAGAGGTTGGAAAGGTCAGGAAGAAATCAAAAAGGAATCCCTCACTGCTCATTCCAGGAGGAACAGCCCCACTCCAGAAGCACTGCAGGCTCCCCATTGCCACAATGCTCCCTCACCACCATAAAAGCACTCAAGCACAGACTGAATGCCAGCACCATCCTCCACCCAGGGCCCACGACAGGGCACTAGAGCACAGAGGTGGCCTGGCAGGAACCCATCAACTGTCCCAGGGCTGCTCACCCCATCCCCGCCCCACTGCACATCCACTCCCACAAGCCTCACCTGCCCTATCTCCCAACAGCCATTTCAGTCTACAAATGCACCTCTGTAAAACATCTTTCTCTGCTCTGGGAGCCTGGCACTTTGTGGACATGCACAGCAGGATGCTGATGTGTTTATCTTGGAGGTATTTGGGACACACAGCAACCTCCCCCACATTTAGACCACACCACGGCAGCACCCATTACATACCACTTCTATTTGCTCTCCCCCGCTCTCGGCTGCCTCTTTGGCCTTCTTCTCTTTCTTCTTCTTTTTCTTTTCCTTTTTGCTCAGCTCCTCTGGTGGAGGGGTGGCAGGGGACGGGGGGGTCACAGCTTCATCACTTTCACTCTCCGACTCTCGCTTCCTCTGTTGGGGGACACGTTGTCAGACACACCAACACCTTCCAACGGAGCTCAGGTGAGGGGAAAACTGTTTGCAAGCCCACTGCAGTATTTTGCCTGATTCAATCCAACTTCAGTTAACAATGCTTTGGGCAGGTAGGGTGACCTGCAGACTGTCAGTGGCCCCTCCAGCATACGCTGTCCAGGATTTGCTTCTGCCAGTATTGCACCCTGTACTTCTCAAGGTTTCCTGTATCCCAAATATTCATGTAAAACACTGCTTCACCTTTTCAGAGGCATGCAAAAGCCCTGACTTAGGGAATTTTAGATGCAACTCTTGCATGGACCTTTCTGCAACTGTCTGTAGTCTCCAAGAAGGTTCTCTGCACTCAAAGCACAGAATCCCAGAGACAAACACCCAGGGAGGGTAAGGCCTTCAGGAGGTCACCTTACAGCCAGCTTGTGGGCCACTGCACATGTGGAGGGTCTAGGCTCCCACAACATGGAACACCCTGTGAAACAAGCAGCACACAATCCATCACCCAATACAAACTGCCTAAAGGAAGTGGTGCATATCCATTCTTCATCAGGGCCCAAAAACGCTACAGCCAGAGAGCACTAACGATACTCACTTTTGAAGCCTTCTCCAGCTCTGACACAGGTCGGTGATCAGCAGCTGCTTCTTTCTTGGAAGAATCCCTGAAAGGAAAGATGCCCAGGCTGAACAGGACAGTTGTTGCCTCACGCTGCTCTGCACATGTACAAACCCTCACAAGGGCTCCACAACCCACCCCAGGAGCTGGGTGGGGAAGTTGGTGTGGGGAAGACCTGCAGCCTGCACCAGGGCCAGCTGGGCTGGGCAACAGCAAGGCCTTTCCCATTAATTTAGCAGACTGACTCCCTCTAGAACCACAAGACAGGCTAAAAAGGGATAACTGTCTGCTCGGGCACTTTCCTTCCGACACTGCCCAACATCTGCAAGAAATGCAACTGCACCACACAGGTCAGGACAGCCAACAGCCCTGGGCCAAGCCTAACGTGTTCCACGATCAAACAGCAGCACCCAACCCTGCCCTTGCTGCACAGTGTTCCCCTCTGAACACCACGAGGGAGCCACACACCCTGTACCCACCTGTAATCCACATACTCCTTCTTCCAGGAATCTGGTGTGTTCTCGTTGGGCTTTCCATGCTTGTCCAGCAGACCCTTCTGGATCATCATCTTCTTCTGACTGGCCTGAGAGCAAAGTACAACAAGTCAAACTGCAGCTCCAGGTAAGAAAGATCCCCCTGGGGCTTCAGCCATTCAGCCTAAGAGAAGGTAACCCAGGAACAAGCCAAGCCAACAACTACAGCGTGCTTAACGCTTTTCCAAGGACCTTCTAATAAGTCACACAAAACATGCCCTGCACAGCAGCCTAAATCTCAGACCAAAGGCATCTTCATTAGTAAATAAGGAGCCAATGGAAGTTCCCACCCTTCCTGTTCTTCAGGCACAATTTAGTGTCTCACAAGACAGTTTGCATTTAAACAGTGTTGCAGCTGCACCAAAAGGAAAAGCAGCTCCTTGCCCAGCCCCTCCAGAGCCATCAGCATGGGGTGATAGATGAGGGTCATCTTTGCACAGAGTGCTAATGCCATCCACTTCACATCATTTGGCTCTTTACCAGAGGAGGGCTGGTGCTGTACAGACCCAAGGAGCCCATTCCTTAACACCTGCAGTGGCCCCAGCTGGACCTGGAGCAGAACTGCCCAGGCTCTGTTGGGAGGGAAAGCCTTGCTCCCATCACTCCCTGGCACCAGGAAGTGCCACCCCCATGGCTCCAGAAGGCTGCAGAATTACAGGAAATCCCTGAAGAAGACACAGGCACAGCTCTGCCCAAGGGGGACCCCAGAGTCCCACATCCCACCAGCTGGGCTCCCACCACTGCACTGGGACAGACTGCAGCCCCACACCACTCACCTTGGGGCCCAGACCCCATTTTCGGGGATATGTGTCTCTCTCCATGATCACTCTCTTGATCTTTGCTACGATGCCATGGTCACAGGTAGAAATGACTGCTGTGGTCATCAAGGCAATGGCTGCAGAAGCAGGCAGGGAGGCCATTAACTCTTTAATAGCAAGACTATCAGCACAAAGAGGACCAACACCCCCCACCAGGGCTGTCTCACCCCAAAGACTCACTGGAAGCAGGTTCTGGACTAACACTTCCACAAGCTGCCCTGCTCAAAGGCAGCAAGTGTGCCAGCCATGGAGTAACAACACCACTCCCAGGCATCTCAAGGAACCACACCACCACAGGAAGGAACAGAGCTGGTCCTTTGTCAGCTCCCAAAGTCTTGCAGAACCAAGCTAGAGGAGACTAATCCTACCAATAATTTATGTTTTTCGCCCCAGGACCCCAAGATGACCAGAGTGCAGGCAGTACAAAGAGCAGGGTTGAATGGCCTGGCTGTGTTAGAGCTCCTAAGGCTCCTCAATCCCATGGGTCTGGACAGAGCATGGGGCCATGCAGCACTGAGCACCATCACTGCGTGTCAGCACCTGTCACCTACACAGCTTCTCTGAAGGCCCTTTAAAGGGCACCCTTTGAAGTCACTGCACAAAAGGTGAGAGTTGCTGGAGTCCCTTTGCACTGATCTGCTCAGGTAGTGTGATGTGCCAGGTGGCAGCGTGTGATCAGACACCATCCCTCGTCCCAGTGAGGATGGAGCCCCCCAGAGAGGGGCTCCAGCCCTGCCAGCACTGCTCCCCTCCTGCAGGCAGCCAGCCACACATCACAGCAGCCCCCAGCAGGACACTGGGAGACTGCAGGATGTCTGGAGGCTGCGCAGTACCCAGACCCTAGAACAGGAACCGGGGTGCTGCAGGAGGGCAGCACCACTGCACTCAGAGAATGGATAAACTGCGTCATCACCTCACACACACAGCACACCTGAGCACCACACACAGCTCATGAACCCTTCACACCCTGCCCAGGACTGACTGTGTCTAAACATCAAGTGCCTTGGGCTCACAGTCCCCATTAGGAAGCACTAATCAAACCTTCTCTGCACGGGGACTCATTCACTGTCACACAGCCTGGTATTTCTGCAGTTAGCTGGGCACAAGAAGAATGAGGAGTTTCATACCTAGGCAGATAGCTTCTCCTTTCGTGGTGATGACAACAATCTCCTGATTAAGCTCAATACCATCTTCATACCTCAGAACACCAGGCAGCATGATCTTGGCTCCATAGCAAATGGCATTAACCTGAAAATGTAGAGAACAGGAGGGCTTAAAGCTCTTAGAAGAGTAAAAATAAGGTAACGAGTGCCTCTAATTTTTAGCTTCTCATTGTCATTACCATCCCAGCAATAATACCCCTAACTATTTATTTTTGTCCACTACGTAAAACTTGGGAGCTTTGGAAGAAGCCAGCAAAGCATGTATCACAGTGGGTGAGGCAGATCTCTCATAACCATCATCCTCCTCCTCAAGGGAGGAGAGCAGATTCTGTCACTTAATTCTTGGCTCTTGCATCTCACTGCTGATCTGGCAGTGGTTCTCACTGGGTTCTACACAAGTCACAATCAGGACAGCATTGGACGTCACACGGCTCCTGGTTCCCCACATTAAATGTGTACAAGTCAAGAGGACGCTGTGCACTGTCAGCTGGCCCTGCCTCAGGAACTCACCGCACTGTCTTTCATGACGAGCCTCTTGTGTGAAGTCAGCAGCTTCTCCAGGGGCAGGATGACTCTCCTCAGGTAGCTGTCATCCTTGTTGTTGTCGTACTGCCACTGTGCATCCAGTACGTCGTGCATGGTCACCATGTTGTCCTGCCAAGACACAACCCCTCTAAACTCTCTCACCAGCCACCAACTTGAAACACCAACACATACACAAAAAAAGCAGCTAAAGTCCAACAGCAAACGTGCTGAAGGGAGTGAACAACAGATGAGATGCCCAACTCAAGCATTAAAATGCATTCTAAAAGAAGCAAGAGTACTTTCCATCTGGAGCTTGAGGGTAGCCTGACTTGGGCTACCAGACTTCAACCTTCCTAATCTTAGACAGCACTTGGATCTAGTGTACAAGGTCTGTCCACAGGAAACTCTAAAATACGACCTAACGCAACTTCCTGGGACTTCTAGACAGTCCAAATTAACCAGCTCTTCCAACTGTGATATGGAATAAATCTTGGAAGCAGCTGTAAGCACCCAACACTTGGAATTCAGAAATGACTGCCAGTGATTACAGCTGTGCTAAGAGCACAGATGGGTGGGGAAGCACTTGCATTTTGATACTGCAGCTTTGCAAAGAGAGAAATTAGTTCTGGAGGATCCATCTATGACCTGACTGAAAAGACTGTACAACCATTCAAGATCACACTAGGCTGCATCTCCCAGGCTCAATCCAATGGAACACATTCCCTGGGCTGTGCCAATGCCAAGCTGACAGCTCACACTCCTGAACCTGTGGAATGTGTGGTTTGTAGGCTGAGAAACACAGGTGACATAAAACAAACCTTCAGTCACCACGGTGCACTTCCCAGTCACTCGCTGTCCCAAAGTTTAATTACCAGAACAGGAGCAACATCCTGAACTGAACTCAACACTTTGGTTACAGACCACCTATGGAAAGAGCTCCCACTTTTCAGGGGCTTTTCACAAAACTCCTCCCAGCAGCCACGTGCCTAAACCTCCTCCTAACACTGTAAAACTCACACAGTTCCAAGAAATCCTTCGCAATTCTGATCATTTCAAGGGGGCTGGTTACAGTGAGAGCTGCCACTCTACCTTCTCTCCCAGGACGCCCGAGCGGACTCTGCGGAGCTCTTGCATCTGGCCCCCCACACCCAGCAGCAACCCCAGGTGGACACACAGAGTCCTGATGTACGTGCCTGCTTCACAGCTCACCCAGAAGATACCTGGAATGGATGACAGAGGAGTATTTAAAGCTGTCATCTAGAAATGAACCACATCCTTTAAGAGAAGCCGTATTTCCAATCCTTCACAGAGCCATCAGAATGGGGTGATAGATGAAGGTCATCTTTGCCCTGAGAGCTAGTGCCATCTAATTGACATCATTTGGCTCTTCCATGAAGGATGCAGCAGTACAAGAAACAGATGGGATTTGCTTCTCAGCACACAAAAACAATACATGAAGCACTTACTGCTTCATGTGGGGAGAATTTAGGTCTTAAGATATCTGCCAAGAATACAAAGCAGCCCATTTCACAGAAAATTTTATCAGCTGCCAGCTTAAGAGGAAGAAGGTAGGAAAGCCCTGTTTTACCTAATCTTCTCTCAGGATCATACTCCACCAGCTTGCTCTCATAGATAGTTCTGACTCTCAGTTGTCGTTTGACAGCAGCAATGAGGGGTGGTCGCTGAAACAATGCGCCTGTCAGAGTTTCTACTGCCTGAGGGAGGAAGGAGAAGCAATAGCTCACACCTGTGCCCAAAGGTAGGAGCACCTTGGAGACTCCAGCAACCATGACCATTCCCATGAGTAAGAAAACACAAGGTTCATCATAATTTGGTGACGTCATATTTAATAAAGCCAATCCAAACCTGTGATGTGCTCAAGATGCCACCCCAGCTGCCAGTGAGCACAGCCAGGCTTTTCCCATCAGGTGGCAGCGTGTGATCAGACACCATCCCTCGTCCCAGTGAGGATGGAGCCCCCCAGAGAGGGGCTCCAGCCCTGCCAGCACTGCTCCTCTCCTGCAGGCAGCCAGCCACACATCACAGCAGCCCCCAGCAGGACACTGGGAGACTGCAGGATGTCTGGAGGCTGCGCAGCACCCAGACCCTAGAACAGGAACCGGGGTGTTGCAGGAGGGCAGCACCACTGCACTCAGAGAATGGATAAACTGCGTCATCACCTCACACACGCAGCACACCTGAGCTCTATTCCTACCCCCTCATCTCCCACCAGTGCCCAACACTTTGCATGCCAGGTGTCAGCATGGCTGAGAGCACGGGAGACTTACCCTGGCCAGCTGAGCCTCACTCTCAATTGCATTGTGCAGCCGAACAATTCCCACATACTCTTTGCCTGAAAGAATGACAAGAGCAGTCAGGAGCGGCCACTTGCATTTAATGTTGACCTCCAGGTCCACACTCCCTCAAAGCCACATGTCCCCAGGGCCCTGAAATCTTAACAACCACCTCTCCTAGGAAGTTTATTCTGGAGCCGGTTATTCTTCCAGGGAAATAAACCTAAGCTACATTTATTTCTTCACCAATTTTTATTTCACTGGACTGGTAAGAGGCTGAGGCTGTAAGTTCAATTAGCACATAAAACCTTGTCAGAAGTGTTTTCGCTGACTTAAAACAGTACAAGCCCCAGAGGAGCAACCAAAAATCACTTGTGACAGCATGGATGTGTCCTCAGTGGCTCAGAGTGACATGCAACCCTTGAATTCAAGGCACTGAAGGCCAAGATCGGCCCTTTCAGTACTGGAAATCTCCACTTTGTCTCCAAAAGCACTTCACACGTCCCCAGTCACTGTAAATGGCCTGGGCAACAAACATACCTGCGCTCTGCTGAGATTTGACCAGGCGTGTTGCCCTCTCAATGCACACAATGAGGCACCCAGTCACCTTAGGATCCAGAGTGCCACTGTGTCCGGTCTTCTCCACTCGGAGGATGCGCCGGATCCACGCAACCACCTCATGAGAGGATGGATTGGAAGGTTTGTCGAGGTTAATAAAGCCAGACCTGTAGTGCAAGATGGCAGAGAGCAGGGGCTAAGCATCGGGGCAAACACAGCAAGAGTGCACACACTGAGCTGCTCCGTGCACAACAGGTGATATATTCCATGGTCAAAGAGTTCTCTTCTCCCCTGACTGCTCTATACTTAAAAGACACCAAACCCCAAGCAGTCTCAAAGCCTAGCAGGCCAAAGGACTTTTCCAAAGACCCCAGAGAGTTCCTCAGGCGTTTGCATGTTCATCCATAGACCAGTCACAGCCCCAGAAAAAAAGCAAACTTCACATCAGATGTTCACTGATTACTGGCAAGGCCCTGAGTCAAGCAGAAAGGTACAAGGGAAACCCAGACAGAAAACGTTTTTAAGGTATTAACTGTGAAAGAAAAATAAACTACTCTGGCCCTTATTACACTCACCTAACATAATCAGAAATCTCTCTCTTCAGAGGATTAGCACCGGAAGGAAGAGGTGTGTAGTGTGCTGTCCTCACATTTAACTTGTCAAAGTTCTACAAAATCCAAGCAGAAGCAGAAATTACAAATCTCCTTGAGCTCACCCTGGTTTCAGCACTGCTTTCCTACAATACATCTCCCCCAGGCACACAAGATCTGATTTGTAAATGTCAGGGCCACTTCCAAAATCAAACACACCCAACAATGAAACCACAATGTTTCACAGAAAAAGAAACAAACGAATCTTGCGCAGAAATAGATGGGAAAGCAGCAGAACACACATCTTTACAGCAGAGGATAAATCCAGTATGCCCCAGAAACTCAGCACAAGCAACTTGGGAGTCTATACACATCACAAGCTATGGTCATACCCAAATAAAAAGCTCAAGAAATCTGGCACGGTACACTTGTAAAACAGGCATGAAAATGATACTGCTGGTCAGACTCGATAACACGATTTCTGCATGCAGTGGGGTTACACAAAGCAGCAGTGCATTTCCACGGGCAGAGGACAAAAGGAGCGGGAGCAGGGACGGACCACGAGGCCGAGCAGAACCCGCCGTACCTTTAGCAGCAAGGGCCACTGCGACGTGTCCAGCTGGGGCACTCGGGACTCGGGCTTGATGAGAAAGTCCTCCGTGTGCTGGATGTCCTGGGGGGGGGGGCGGAGTTCACCGGGATCAGAGCGGGAAAAGCCGGCGGGCCGCGTTCCCGCCGCCTCCACGCGCCCGCTCCACGTGGCCCGGGAGGCTCCGCTGCCGCATCCACGTGGGGCGGCCGCGCTCCCTGCGGGAACGGCGCGGGAGAAACCCATCCCATCCCAGCCTTACCCACCCTCCCCATCAACCACCCCACCGCGTCCCCACGGATGGGTCTGGGGGAGCCCCCCTCGGCACCCCAAACCCGGCCCGGGCAGACCCCCGCCCCCGCCGCTCACCGCAACATCCTCATCGGCGAGCGCCCGCTTCTCCTTCTTCCTCTTCTTCTTCACGCTGGAACCTGCGGGAGCGACACGCCGGGAGTGAGCGCGGGGAGCGGGGCAGGCCCGGGAGGGGAAAGGGGGAACGGCGAGGGGAGGGGGCAAAATCGCCCGCAGACCCTTCCCCCCCGTGTCCGCCCGGAGCCCCCCGCCGGTCCCACCGCTGCGCACCGTCCCCGTCCGCCATGGCCGCGTGGTGTCCCCGCCGCACGCACCGGAACGGCCGCCCCGTTCCGACGGGCTCGCGTCACCGGCCTCGCGTCACCGGCCCCGCCCGCCGCCCCCCTTCCACCGCCCCGGCGGGGAGGAGCATCCCCGCCCGGCAGGAGCATCCCCGCCCGGCGCCGCCGCCGCTGCCATTCACCGCTGCTACTCAACTAGATACAATTCTAGTAACAGTTTCGTCTGCCCGAATTTAAAAAGAGAGGGTCATAGAATCAACCGTGTTGGAAAAGACCTCCGAGATCGTCAAGTCCAACCCTTGATCCAACACCGCCCTGGCTACCAGATGATGGCACTAAGTGTCACATCCAGTCTCATCTTAAAAACCTCCAGGGATGGTGAGTCCACCACCTCCCTGGGCAGCGCATTCCAGTGTCTGATCACGCTCTCTGTAAAAAATTTTTTCCTAATATTCAACCTAAACCTCCCCTGGCAGGGCTTAAGACCGTGGCCTCTTGATAGCTGCCTTGGAGAAGAGACCAACCCCTATCTGGCTACAGCCTCCTTGCAGGGAGTTGTAGAGAGTGATGAGGTCTCCCCTGAGCCTCCTCTTCTCCAGGCTAAACAACCCCAGCTCCCACAGCCTCTGCTCATAGGACTCACAGGACTTGTGCTGTTCCTATGTACTTTTTGCCACACAGATTTTTACTTTGTTTCCCTGACAGACAGAGACAGCACCAGAAAAGAAATAAGCTAGCAGTCCATTCATCCTTTTCGCCCTCCACCATTACTTTAATTCTCAAATTCCCTCAGCCATAGTGGAGTTGCCACTGTGCAGGCTCAGTTCTTTGGGTTACCAGATGTTACACAGAGACTGACCTCAGGCCGCCACCATCAGTCCCCAGACTTGCTGGTCAGCGACAAACTCCCTTCACCCACCACAAAATGCAAAGCCTCGTGTTGGCTGCAGCATCTATTGTTTTCAGGAGGGGAAAAAATTAAAATCTTTTTTTGTGTTTTTGTTGGGGTTTTGTTTGTGTTTTGTGTGGGCTCTTTCATTTTCTTTAAAAAAACCAACTACAGAAACATTTGATCCCCAGATGCCCAAATCCTCCAACACACACAAACTGCAGCCAGTCCTTTAATGCACAGCCTCGTTCTGCCCCGAACTGGCCCTTCCGCTTCGGGATTACACTTTTTCCAAGCAGGACAACATCTAGTACATACAGTGAGCAGTTTACTATGACACAAGGTGAACACATCTGCTCATCAACCATGGCTTGAGTGCATTACAGAGTCGGTATTAAAAATAAATAGCGGGACAGTCCATGTTGAAGCGACCAGTCCGAGCAGTCCCTGCAGGTGCTCAGAGCCCCTGCCCGGCGGGGCTCAGCATCTCCTGCAGCACCAGGTGCAGCAGGTGGTTCTGCTCGGCGCTCAGCAGCGGCCACAGCTCTGCCTGCAGTGCCTTCAGCGCCTCCACGTCCTTCTCCTGGCATGCCAGCACGGCCGATTGCAGCAGCAGGAACAGTTCTGCCGGCAGGTAGCTGGCGGCCGGCGGTAGCCCGCCCGCCCCGGGGCCGCCCGCGCTGCCGGTGGTGCTCGCCCCGCCGTCGGGCGCCTCCCAGCAGTACTGCTCCAGCGTGCGGGCGTGCTCGGGCAGCAGCTTGGCCGGCGGCGGCTGCAGCAGCAGCAACAGCAGCACCCGCGACACCTCGCAGCGCGCCAGCACGTCCAGGAAGGCACCTCCAGGAGCCGCCCCGGCTCCCGCCCCGCCGAGCCCGGCCCCGGCCAGCGCCTGCGCCCGTGTCAGCGCCGCCAGTGCCCCGGCGTAGTCGCGGGCGAGCAGAAGGCAGGACGCGCGCTCGGCCAGGCAGCGCAGGGCCTGCAGCGGCAGACGGGCGGCCCCCAGCAGCTCCGCCGCCCGCTGCAGGGGCGCGGCGGCGCGGGCGGGCTGGCCCGTGTCGCGGAGCGCGGCCGCCAGCTCCAGGCACGGCCCGGCCGCCAGCGCGGGCTGCCCGCGCTCCAGGTGCAGGCGGGCGGCGAAGGCCCCGCAGCTCTGCGCCGCCGACACGTGCTCGCCGAAGCCGCCGCGCAGCCCCAGGCGCTGCCGCAGGTCCCGCTCCTGCCGCAGGAAGAGCCGCGCGGCCTCGGCCAGCGCAGCCGCCTCGGCGGGGCCGTGGAACAGGCTCTGCGCGCAGCGCGCCACGGCCAGCTGGCACCAGGCGGCGTAGGGCAGGCTCTCCTGGGCGCGCAGCTCCCGCGCCAGTGCCGCGAACTGCTCCGCCGCCTCCGCCACGTTGGGTTTGCGCAGGAACCGCCGCCGCAGCTTGGCCGACACCAGCCGGTACCGAGATAGGAAGTCGCCGTCGCCGCCGAGCCCCGGCCCGGAGCCGCCCGGCCCGGCGGGGCCGGAGCCGCCGCCCGCCGCCAGCATCGCCCGCTCCGCCGCGGAACTGACGCGCCGCCCCGCCCCGCGCCGCCGCCCAATCAGCGCCCGCGCCGCTGTCGCGTAACAGAGGGGCGGGGCCTGGAGGAGGCGGGGAGGGGGCGCGGCCACTGCAGACTGCGCTAAACACGATTGTCCCCGCCCTTAATAGGCGTGGTTAAGACGGGCCACGCCTATTAAGGGCGTGATTCTGCCCGGGGGGCCCCGCCCCGGGTGCGCAGCGGGGCTGAGCGGCGATTGCGCCCCCTGGCGGCCGGGCGGACCCGCCCTCCTGTCCCGCCGCCGCCGCCGCCGCGGAATCGGAAGCGAGACGGGGATGGGGCCTGGGACGGGGGTCGGGATGGGGACCGGGATGGCGACGGGCTCTGAAGCCCCCAGATGGGGCCGCAGCAGCCAGGCTCAAACAAGAAAGGTTGACCCAAGTAGTACCAAGTGGGTGGGTGAGCCTCCTGGCCGAAGGATGTGTGGGTGCAGGAATTTTAGGTGAGGTCAAAGGGATAAGAGAACTCTTGGGGTCCCTAAATAGATAAACCATGCCTGACTCGGGAAACCCCCAGCAGCGCCGAAAATATTTGATGCCCGAGAGGGTTAAGCGGGCATGTGAGATCACGTGTGCTTGCCCGCTTCCTGCTTTTCCACGACCATCCGCAGGAGGCACGGCCTGAGAGAGGGGCTGTTCCCGCTGTCCTGACGTCCCTACACGTGTGAGCACACGTACCCACCTGCACCCACCCCGCCAGCTGAGGTGACACGTTCTGCCAGACATCCCTCCCGCTGCCTCCCCAGCCCCGAGCATCCCACCGGACAGGCTCGGTGGCGGGGGGCACTCCGCTTTCAGCGTGTCCCCAGAGAGCTCAGCACAGCCACGTGGTTGCTGTGACACGGGCACCGTGTCCCACCCGTGTCCCACCAGCACACGGGTGAGGCCCCTCGCCCCCCACCATGGCTCTGTGCTGCCTGTTGAGACCCCCGCGCTGGCACCTCCGCCCGCCGCCGCTCGCCCTGCTCGGCCCGGACCGCAGCCTTCGGACAACGACAAAGGGGAAAGGGAAGAAAAAGGCCAGGGAGGGCTGCAGCCTGCCAGATCCGTCCTGGGAGGAGAGGTACGGCTTTCCCAAAATGACCGAACGCTCTTCCGAAGCGGCAAGTGAGAGCGGTGGGTTTGGGGTTTTACCCTCGTGCAGCTCTTCCCAGTAGAAATAGAAGGGTCAGGACTCAGCTGTTTTTTCCCGCGAGTTTGGCCCGGGGATAGGAATAATGGAAAAGACAAATGGAAAGGTTTAAGAGGAAAGGAGCAGACAGGTTGCCACAGTGGCAAGCAAAAAGTGATAGTCCGTTTGATTTGCAGTTCTCTGTCTGAAAGTAGTTGGCACTGGGTGCTTTTGGAAGCAGCTCCAAAAATCCCAGTAACCAATACCAGCAACTTATCCAGCTGTGGGGTGATGTTCTCCATGGGCTCAGTGAGTCAGTAGTTGATGGATAGTTATGATTGTTTGAACCACATCCACCTCACCCCTTACTCTGCCTTTTTTTTTTAAATCAGCTTTTATGTGTTTTGTTCTTACTTGTTCTGCCTCAGATAAAAGTAATGGCAAGTTCTGAGGTTTTTCTCTAAACAACTGCTGTGTGGGTCAGCGAGGGGTGGGCAGCTTGAAATTCCCTGCCTGCTCCACACAAACTGTGCATTTCTCTCTGGTTCACTGGGAGTTTGGGTGTTCACAGCCAGCTCTGTCACCAGAAAGTCCTGTCCGTGAAGTAGCTGTCAGGGATGTTATGCCATGGGTATCAGGGGGGAGTATCTCTGGGCACTGCCATGATGTTGTGCTTTCCAGGTTAGCAAATGCAGTGACTCCACTGTGGAGACTTCCCTACCAAGAGCAGCTGCAGGTAAGATGTGCTTACACATATTTTTCTTTGCTGTGTTGCCCCGACTGCCTCTCCTATCCCCTTAAGCAATAGCCCTCATCATCTTAATGCTGTAAACTCTTCAGACCCCATTTACTGCTGCTTTAATCCTTCACTTATGGTGAAGGATAGAACTGGGAGGTTCCTTATGGTACAGAGTATGGGCACTTGCACAGTGATCCTGTCCTCTGTGGGACAGCTGGTTCACTGGGGCTTCAGGTTGGACCAAGTGCTCCAAGGTCAGCTCTTGGGGACCATGGACACGGGATTTTTCCCTCTTCCTGTTGCCCCAAGCAGCTTTGGTGATGAAAAGGGCAGAGTTCCTCTGGGGCTATATTTTCACTTGCAGTATTTCCTCCTGTTGGACTTCCCAGGGGTGGGTGATGAAGAGCTGCCCACCGTCATGTGGTCCTGTGAGAGTGTTTCTGGCTTAGAACTCCTCTGCAGGTGAAGTATGAAAGCCAGAGGAAGATTTTGCAGACACTGGCATCTCGTCTTGAGGAGCTGGGCATAGATGCACAGAAACCTGGTGGGCTCTGCTGTCCTCTCCAGCCTGTAGTCCCTTCTGTGAGTATCCTGTGGGAATGCTCTCCCCTCTGAGCCACTCACAGCCTCTCACTCAACAACTGAAGAGCCTCATGGTAGGCATTATTTGCTTGCAGAGAGTGTGCCTGTGGCAGTCCTTGCTAGCTTCTGCTTTGCAGCCTGTGATTGCCTGAGAGTGAAATAAGCCCAGTGCTTAGGAACCCTTTTTTTTGTGTCCAAGGCTGCCCTGATAAACCTGTCACCTTTCTGTCACAGAGAGCCATTTCTTCCTCCCCAGGGGAAGTACTGGGCTTCTCATGCACAAGCTCCATTTCTGTGTTTTGCACATTCACGTGTATCTTCCCATGTTGCCAACAGAACAGGGCAGGGTTTTGGCTTTCCTCCATTACTTTTAATCTAAGGCTTTATTTTTTCTTCTTTTCTCCCTCAGCCCATCATTAATGGCTACCGAAACAAATCTACTTTCTCTGTGAACCGAGGACCAGATGGGAACCCCAAAACTGTGGGGTTGTATGTAGGAACTGGCAAAGGTCAGTGCAGGACAAGAAGCTCAGTAGAAAACTGCTGGCATGAGCTGGGCTGGGGCAAGGCTCTGCTTGAAAGCCTCCTCTCAAGTTAGAAGCCTGAATCCTTTTAACACCTCAGTTCATTAGCTTCTTAAGAAATACCAGCTCCTAATTTGCAAAATACAACAGGAAGGACGATGGATGGGGCATCAGCCCCTTTAGGATTTAGCTTTGTTATTCTTAATTATGCTGTTCCCACATTTTTGGCATGCTCCAGGAGCCTGTGCTGAGCAGGAAGAACATGGAGGGATGTGCACTTCCATAGGCAGCAGAGCAATGTTGAAGCATTTGCAGTGCATGAGGCAGTTTGGTGCTGTGCAGTGAAGATGTGAACACTGTGCTCCTTGCAAGGGGCACGTGGATACCAATTTTTTCTGTTTTCTTCTTTTTTTTTAAATTTGTACCATGGGAGAATTCAGGGGAAAGGCCTCTCCAAAGTTTATCATGTTTAGATGGTACAGTGGTTTACTGTTCCCTGAAACAGAACAATTAAATACCTGTCCATCTCTCTCCAGCAAGAAATATTGTCTGTGTGAAAGCCAACCACATGAAGAACATGCCCTCAACACACAAACAAGTAGCCCAGGTAAATAAAGAAGTCATGTCTGTCCCCAGACTGTGGAATAGAGGGACTGCAATAACTCTTGTTTGGGAGAACATTGTAATTTTAGTTACTCCATGTTTTCAAGTTCATATTCCTGGTCTGAAAAGTTTCATGCCTGACTCTGGTTGATGGAGAAGTACTTTTTTAAAACTTGCATCTTAATATTGCAGCTTCTAAACTGTTCCAAAGAATGAAATTAATCAAATGAGAACGAATTCCTGCCAATCTATTAAAACACATAAGAACTGCAAATTGAAATTGTTAAAATGTTTTGTCTTTCAAGAGCCTGGAAAGAGCTTTCACTTAGTCTATTGAAAACAGAGAAACCAGATCATGCTGGTGGAAGGGCTGCCTGTCTTGGGGGTTAAGACCAGGGCAGTTGTCTTTGTGGTACTACAAATGCCCTTTCCCCTCCCCTCAGTGCTATGAAGAGTTCATCTCTCGTTCCCCCCTGGACTCCTGCATCCTCTTCCATGAAGGTGGACACTGGCGGGAGCTCGTGGTTCGTACCACCAGCCGTGGCCACACCATGGCCATCATCACTTTCCACCCCCAGGAGCTGGGCCAGGTGAGTATGTGCAGGACAGAGCCCATGGCAAGAGGCACATCAAATACCCGGCTCACCTGAGCCTTCTGGGTGTATCCCTGGGAAAAGGTGTCTAATCAGGTTACCCAAACAGCAGGTTTTCCTTTCTTGCTCTTAACAGGAGGCACTGGCTACTCAGAAAGCACTGCTCAGGGAGTTCTTCACGTGTGGACCTGGAGCAGTCTGTGCCTTGACTTCACTTTATTTCCAAGAGAGGTATGTGTCTTGGCACAGAGAATGAGTGGAAACAAAGCCACCTCCTTTTTATCTCCCTTCTCTGATCAAATTCAAATTCTATCAGTTCAAGGAGTGCTTAAAGAGAATGACAGATGTTTGGATCCCACATAAAGATATGGCTTTAAAATGGCCCCATCTTTTTTTTTCCAAACCTGTAATACTTGAACACACTGTGGCTCTACCTCATGGGAATTAGAAGACTGGCAAACTAAAGTAAAAGCCTACAGTGACTTTTCCAAGACAGTAAATCATACTAGAAGCAAAAGTGGGGAATAGACCCAAGGACTGCTGCCTTCTGCTAGGTCATTTTGATCCTTTTAATGAAATCTAGGCTGTGCAAGTCACAGATCCCTTACAAAGAATCAAAATTCTTGATCTTGTTGAGAGGCTCCCACAAAATAGAGGTTGCCTGGGGAGAAAACCATCCTCCCCTGCCCACGAGCACCCTGGGAATGGCAACCAGCTCTCTGCTGCTTTCTAAGAGCTGTTTTTTGTGTGGTCTGCCAGCACCATGACACGCTGCTCCCACGAGCAGTCTCCCTACCAGCTGCTCCACGGGGAACCTCACATCTTTGAAGAACTGCTCGGCCTGAAGTTTCGCATCTCTCCAGATGCCTTTTTCCAAGTGAACACGGCTGGAGCAGAAGTTCTGTACCAGGCAGTTGGGAAGCTCTGTCAGACTACTGGGGACACTGTCCTCCTCGACATCTGCTGTGGAACAGGTGAGTAGTGGCCGTGTGAGCCCAGCTCCTAGGGCTGGTGCTTTGCTGGTGCCAGAACTGATCCTTGCTGTGTAAAGTCCTGCTTCTTCAGCATGAATGTACAGGGTATTTTTGTGTCCCGTGTTTCCAGGCACAATTGGTCTCTCTCTGGCTCACCAGGTGTCCAAGGTCATCGGTGTCGAGGTGGTGGAGAAGGCAATAGAGGATGCTAAGTGGAATGCAGTGTTCAATGGTGAGTTCAAACTCGCCGTGGCAGAAAGTTTCAAACTAACTGCTGAAAAATCGGAAGTAGTAAGTGAGCGGGGGGGACCCTAACACAGCAAAGGGTGGTTCATGTTATACCTAACACTTGGTGGGACTCTGTTCTTTTTGCTTCCCAGGGATCTCAAACTGTGAGTTTCACAGTGGGAAGGCAGAGGCCGTGTTACCACAACTCCTGGCATCGTGGGAGGATGCCCGGCCGCTTGTTGCTGTGGTGAACCCATCTCGGGCTGGCCTACGTGAGAGAATATGCTATTTATTTTTTTATTTTCATCTTAATTTAGTAACGATTTTTCTCTCATCCTTCATCCCTCTGGGAAGCAGAGGGATTTCTCCCGCTGCTCTACCCTGCTTAATGTGCTAAGCTATCAGCAGCATGGGTCTGAGACAGAACATGGCAAAATATGTGTCTCTTTTTCCCCTGTATTTTCGACAGTTCAGGGCAGTTCTGTGAGGCTCTGTGTGCAGTCATTCCTCCTGGGTCACTGGGAAAGCGGGGTGTGTTTTTGCAGATTACAGGGTCGTGCGGGCCATCCGGAATTGCAGGACCATCCGCAGGCTGCTCTACATCTCCTGCAAGCCAGAGGGTGAAGCCATGAGGAACTTCCTTGAGTGAGCACTCTCCTCCCCTCCACTTACCTTAGTGACAGACCCTATTATGTCCAGACAAGGCTTGGGAAGGTTTTTGTAGTGGTTAAATTTTGCTGGATGAGTTCTGCAGGTGAGATGCAGGACTAAGTGCATGGGCAGGAGGGGTTTATGCCTCTGTGTTACTTTGGGTTTCCCTGCAAGCTGCACTCGCTGGTTTAAGGTAGGGGGGTATTCTTTGGGTTTTACATACAGCAGGATGCATTATTGCATCAGTGAGGAGTAGAAAACAGTGCAAACATGTTATAATGGCATTGTGCAACCTTCCCCAACAAAAGAACGCATCTGGATGTGGGATACAGAATCCACGGGGATCACTGCAGGAAGGTTGAGCCCTAGCCAACAAAGTGAAGCCAAGGGGATTAGTCACCTGCTTCGGGTTACTCATGGGGCTTTATCTGGGGTAGGCCTGTTTGCAGGTGATAAATCTGTCTGCAGGTGACCATGAAGGTAGTGCAAAACTGAAAATTGCTTCTTAAGGGTATTAAGTGTCTTTCAGCTGGGATGGCTTGTGAGAAAGGGAGCTTTAAACTTGCCACTGGCTTTTCAGCTTGTCCCTGAGGTTTTCAGAGCTGGTTTAGGATTCAGTAGTGGTGGTCCCACACCTCAGCCAGTGTCAGCTGCAGACTCTGAGGGACATTAGCCAAACAAACAATACCCCTTCGGTGGATCTTCTGTGCTATTGTGCTGCCAGTAATGGTGGGAATGGTTCTGCTACTGGTCTAAAGGTTGCTCTTTGCTTTCCACAGGCTGTGCTGCCCACCTGACCCACGGAAGAAGCTGACAGGAGAGCCATTTGCCCCCGTGTTGGCAATTCCTTTTGACCTGTTTCCTCATACTGTTCATTGTGAGCTGGTGCTGCTGTTCACCCGCTGACAGGGAGGCAAGTATGCCAGCTGTGAGAGCTTGGGAAGCAACCTCCTACTGTGCTGGAGACTCGAGTCAATGGAGTTAGGATTTTAACTTATTTTCTGGATAGGTTGTATAAAAATAAATAATTTTGCTTTTTCTCTTACTTTGGGTTGCCTAGCAACACTGTTCTTTAAGGAACCACTTGGATTTCTGAGGTGAAAAGGTTCTCTGTAGCATTTCATCACCCTTCCTTCCCCTGCAAACCTGTTCTTGGGCTGCTGGTTAAAGCAGCCTGAAAAATACACTCTCCCTGTGTTGAGGAGTATGCCCAACTTGGTGTTCAAGCTGCAAATTGTGCCCTGGGTGGTGGAAAATTGCTGGAGCCCCAGGCAAGGAACACAAAGACCATGGGGTGGGTGGCTCCTCACCCAGACACTCTGCAGAACTCAATGAACAATGAGAAGACCCCAGACCTAATTTTCCATTGGTCAGAACTGTTGTGCAAGGGCCAGGAGATTTAGGGTGTAAGGGTATGAAAGCCCAGGGATTCCTTTGTTGGGGCCCTTCCTGGAGGCACCAGCTCCAGCTGTTGTTATGTTGCTGTGCCACAGTTAAAATACTTAAAGGATCCAGATGTCTGGAAGCTCTGCTATGGGAAACTGGGGTCGATCCAGTGAAGGGAACTTGTCTGATTCTGTCAGTGGAGTGTGTAGGGAGTTAAGGCATCTGTGGGTTCACTGGAACCACTGATGCAAAGGGGCTTTGGTCCCAGCAGTGACATTCTGGGCTGATGTGAGTGTGATCCCAGGAGTGGCATCTGAAGGGTCAGACAGGAAAGGTTCCATAACACCTGGTATTGTGGGTTTCCACCATCAGCATGTGAATACATGCAGTAAAATCCACTGCATTTTCTAATACTGCCATGCCATTAGTTCTATGCCTGCTTCAAGGATATTCCAGGGCTTTTTCAAGTTGATATTGAACTGGCTATGAAGAAACCGTAGGAACTAGAAATCCTCATGCTTCAACGGGAATATGTTGACTTCCGGGGGTCAGGGAAATATTCCTGTATAAGCTTCCAAACCCAATATTGAATCACTGTCAGTCACGTGGATAAGTTGGAGGCAATGAGATTTTTCTGTAAAATAAAATGAAAAGAGAACAGATTTCAATGTCTCTCCTTTCACAACTGCCTCCTCTTCTCCACTAACACGTACCTAAATATGAAGTGCCCTATGAAAATGTCAGCAGCAACATTTTTCCTCCTCAGGATGTTCTGCAATAGCTAATTAAAAGGATTTCTTGTGTTTTGTACTTGTCCTGTCCTGCTCACTGTGAAGCACAGTGTTATGTGAAGTTCTCTCCAGCTCTTCCAGAGATGTAGCTGCTGTAATGGGGAGGGAGGTGTGAATGAGCAGTTCCCTTGCATTTTGTAAATTCCATGAAGTTTTGAATCAAGCCTGATAAACTCCTAAGGAAACAGGGAGAGCTGCCTGTATTTTTCATACTTTAATTCCAGTCCTAATGAAACCTGAGCTTGGAATAGTAACAACCAGCAGTTCTCAAGCCACGGGGGCTTAAAATAGATGCATTTAGGACTTGAGACTTATTAAACCAGTGTCCCATGAGTGTAAGATTCTTGCACACTGTTACAGCCTCTTGCTTTCGTTTTATACCAAAGGATGCAGTATTCCAGCAGTTCTGTGTTGTGTAATTATACCTTGGTTTCTTGCTGCAAGATCTGAATAGATTTCTGCCTAGCCTATGGTTTGATCAAAAGGAAATTTGTTGCAAATTGCAGGAGAGAGAGAATGACTTTAAATCAGAAAGTAACAGAAGATCAGAAAACCTTTACAGTAGCCTCTGGAGAGCTGAACATATACAGGACAGGTTTTATCTGCAGTGGAGGTGGGTGACACAAGTGGCTTCACCTTCCCTTTTGGGCATCTGGTTCCAGGAGAACCACAGGGACAAGACATCTCTTCTGCTTTCCTGGTGCAAATACATGAAGCAATATGTTGTTTGCTGTGTATGAGCATCTGGATACCTGGAACTGAGAGCTGTCTATGTACAAGAGACCCCTGGCCGCTTTTCCTCCACAGCACGTCCCTCCTGTGCCCTCTCCTAACATGTTCTTGTTTTCCCACTAGTGAGCAACTGTGCTCTGCCTTTGGCTGCAGTCCCACATCCCTAGAACTGGCTCAGTTTTGGCTTTCTGTGGGCGATTTATGGAACATGCAAGGAAACAGAGGATGACTTGCTGGCAGGAGCGCTCCAGGTGCTGGAGCTGCCTTGGCTCCGGCTGCAGGGCATTAGGACCCAGGGGTTGCCGAGTGGAGGAGGCTGAATTCCCTCCCGCTGTCATCCTCCTGCCTCTGCAGCTTTATCCCTACAGCCTTCAATGGTGACGGACTCCCTCCCACCCGGGCTGGCAGCCAGAGCCAGAAGGCCTCGCTAGGACCGGATCCCTGCAGCTCTATGGCATCTCCCAGGACTATCACCATCGTCGCCCTCTCGGTGGCCCTGGGGCTCTTCTTCGTCTTTATGGGGACCATCAAACTGACCCCTCGGCTCAGCAGAGATGCCTACAACGAGATGGTGAGTCGGGCGGCGGCAGCACGGAGTGGGGGGGGCATCAGGGCTCTCTCCCTTCCACCCTGCAGCGGGAGCAGTGGGGTACACAGAGGGGGCCTGCCCTGGAGCCCCGGGCGATGGGCAGGCGAGGGGAGAAGCTTTTCTTTCTCCTCATTTGATAGACATGGAGAGAAGCCAATAATACGCAGTGCCCAAGATATCCTGGCGGCCCTGTCCCTGGAGAAACCTCTGTGGATAAGGATGGGGAGGGGAGGCAAGGAGGACGGGGTAGTTCAGCACACTGATGCCTGCAAAAGGTGGGGGCACAAGGGTCCCTAAAAGCAAGGTCTGTAGAAGCACCAGACATGCAGCAGGCAGGGACAGCTGATCCCTGGGAGAAAACCTACCCCCTGGGTGGGGGGTAGGAAAAGCAGATGCCTGCTTTGGCAGCCAGCTGTCCATCCTCACGATTCTGTGCTTTAAAGCAAGGATTTAAAGACACTGACTGTCTCTACCTCACAAGACTTGTGCTGGGATTAATTCATGATTGTGAAATGCTTTGAGATTCTTAGCTGGCAGAGGGAGATATTATTAATAGTCATCTCATTATTCTTTTTAGCCAGGGAAACGATCCTCTCCACCTCTTGCCTAACAGGAAAGGGGTGAGGAGAGGACGGAGAAGTCAGTGTGTGTGCATTTCTCACCTGGTGAGCTGGTTGATGCTCCTCTCTGCTCAGGCCCAGCCCTGCTGCAGAGCTTTGCCAGCTGAGAGCTGCAGGCAGGTGAGGGACTGGCTGCCACATTTTGCTTCCTTGTCTACGTTTATTTATTCTCCTGCCCCCCTCCCTTTTCCCCATTATTTATTGCAGTAGTTGAAAAGCATTGGTTGAAAAAGCATTTTTGTGTCCCTATAAAAATAGTGCTGGAAGTTTCCAGCACATTCTGTTCTCTCCCTTTGCTCCACCTGCCCAGCTGCTGCTTTTCCTTAGCTCTCAAATAACATCTGAATAGCAGTGCCTTGTCTGCAGCCCAGCATCGACATCTCACAGAGGAGAGTCCCCAAGAAGTAACTCATGAGCAAGAGACTGAGATAAAACACCCAGAAAACAAAGCCCTTAAGCTTCTGCAACAGAAAAAAAAAAAGGCACAGACTTTAGAAGCGTTGCAAAATGCTTGCTTTATAAAATATTCTGCTTCTCTGTCCCTTTCTGCTTTACCAAGAGTCAGGCCTGCAGGTAGGAAAGATCCCTGGTTTTATAAGGAGAAAGCAGATATTCAGCAGCACCATTATTCTTCATAGCCCATATTGTCCATATTGTCACATATTCATGGCTCGTTAGGCTCTCCTGCCTTTGCTGTGCTGCATACCCTGGTGGTCTGTCATGCCATGGAGACAGTGGAAACCTGACCTTGCTAATCCATAGGGATGGCTCTTTGCCCCCAGCAAATAGAGAACCTCTGTTACCTACCTACAGCACCAAACTTGCAGTTTTTCATTCAGCAGAGAACACAGTAGTTTGTCTATTAAAATACTCTGGGACATGCTTATGGTACATTTCTTAAAAAAGCTGTGTTTTTTTACAACTGTTTAAAAATACTCTGCTCTGAGGTTTTAGTCATTGATGGTTTAAAATTCATCCTTCCAATGCATACTTAATCTTAGATTATTTTGTAGCAAAACTGACAACACTGTATATATTTTAACCACACATGAAGTGTCAGATCCTCCCAGAAGGAAGCATCAAAATCTACAGAGAAGTGAGGAAGTTCTGTGTGCCCATAATGCAGTTTTCCAAAATCATAGGGAAGTAGATGCACAATTTATCAGTGCCTGTGAGAGCAGAGCAACCCTGCACCTGAGATTTGGTTTCCATTTCCCTCTCCCTGATTAGAAAGCAGAGAACACAACAGCAAGAATACCTGCAGGGATAGTATACCCAAGTGTAAGTGGAAATAATTTCAGTGATGACTCAGAGCTTTATTAAAATATATATAGAAAAAGGAAATACTTGATTGCAAAATAAACAAACAAAATAATAAAAAACCCCTAAACAAAACAATAAGCCCACAAGCACCTAATGTTCAAATGTAAGAACCTGAACCTGTGTAAGGACAGAGGTTGTCTTTTTCCAAAAAAAGTGAGGCAGCTGTGTAAGCAAGTTGAGTCTTGCAACTTACACTGCTTCTAAATCCAGCATAAAGCAGGGAGCAAACAATGTCAAATGTCAGCTTGCTTTCACCTGAGGAAAGAAAGGATCATAAAGCACAGGCTAGGGCTGGTGAATCTCAGCTTTGATACGTAGTCCCACATGAAGATTGCACTACTCATGAACACTGGGATATGGTAAATTGCTTTGAGGTAAAAAGAGACTTTTTTATGCACTTGGTGTGCCTTGGCTTTGCTGAGTGTGTTATTGAGTTTTATAGGACAAACTACTCTTAGAGGTTCCTTTTTATAACAACATGGTTCTGCACTGCTAATTCTAGGAATCATAACTTCAGATTTCATCTGGGCTGGTCATAGTTCCAAAGAGGGGTGCTGTGTTGCAGGACTGTTTTCCAGCAAGGAGACAACATCTTATAAAGGGGGAATTGCAGGTTGATAGTTTAATATCCCCCCAACGGAAGCTTTACAGATTGGGTATTGCACCAGAGGGGTCTGTGATGTTTGAAGCCATCTTTGGGTCATATTGCACATCAGTCTCTTTCAATGGAAGTCACCTTGGCCTTCATTTTCTCACATGCTGGTGTCATACCCTATGACTGCTTGATTTCAGAAACGAGCCTACAAAAGCTACGTGCGGGCCCTGCCCATGCTGAAGAAGATGGGAGTCAGCTCCATCCTCCTCCGCAAGACCATCGGCGCCCTGGAAGTGGCGTGTGGCATTGTCATGACACTGGTGCCTGGTCGCCCCAAAGACGTGGCCAACTTTCTCCTGCTCCTCCTCGTGCTGGCTGTGCTCTTCTTCCACCAGCTCGTGGGGGACCCCCTCAAGCGCTACGCCCACGCCCTGGTGTTTGGGATCCTGCTCACCTGCCGCCTGCTCATCGCCCGCCAGCCCGAGGAGCTGCCGCCCGAGAAGAGGATGCTGTCGGTGAACGGGGATGAGCAGCCACTCATCCACGAAGCAGCTCCCGAGAAAGGCAAGATGAAGGTATCCTAGTTGAGTGCATGTGAGAAACACGGACCCTCGAGGCAGCTCTCTCCAAAATCACCCGGAAAAATTTGGTTTTTATTTTAAACCTATTTGCGTTTTTTTTTTTTTTTTTGTCTGTCTAAATAAAGTTGCACTTGGGGTCTGAGAGATACAAGGTATGTCTACACCGTAGTCTTGCTTTTGCTGCTGCCCTGTAATGTAGAAAAACACAAGCAGCTTTCCCGGGGACAGCTTGGAGGCAGTCAGCAACCTGGCTGGAGCAGTGCCGGCCGCAGCAGGAGCTGCAAAACCAGCCTGAGACCCTGGGCAGAGATTTGGGTGGGCAGTCAGGCTGCCCTGGCACTGCTGCAGTGGGGAGATTAGTCTCTGAGACCAGCCCCGAGCCCCAGACCTGGCCTGGAGGCTGCTGCCTGGCAGTCTGGAACAGCAGCTGGGCAGGACATCACCAGTGTCCCTGTACTGGCCTGTGCAGCCCCACCCACACACCTGCATTTCCTTTTCCATAGTCAAGGGGCAAAAGGGACCCTACTGTCCATAAAAGTGCAGTTGCTTGTGTTGGAGAGAGGGATCCCTTCGCTTTTGCTGCCTCTGTGCCCAGTCCTTTCTTTGGACTGGTCATCCAGGGAAAACGTGAGATGCTCTGTTTGCATCTTCCTTGATTTCCATGTAGAGGCTCTAAAACTGGGACAGTGGCCTGATAACAGTAATATTTTGCCTGCTTCACATGAGGCAACGGCATCTCTTTATCCTTCTTGGCAGAGAGTAATGATCCCTGGAGAGGGGATGGGGAGCAGAACTGCCCAAAGAACTCCAAAATATCTGTCCGATGTCGGCAAATAGCATCGTGCTCCCCATTTCCTTGCAAGAAAAAACCTTTTTTCCACAGCTACTGTGACTTTACAGAATTGTTGTTTATTGCTGGTAGATGAGGGTCTGAACAATTCCAGGTACCTCATTGCTCATCCCACATACAGCCTCGGTGAGCTGGGAGAACTGTTACCAGAGCCTGAATCCCTGTGTTGTATCTGAAATCTTAGAGTGTCATAAGGAGCATGTGTTACCTCTGAATTTGTCTGGTTTTCTTAATGTTTGTCTGTTTTCAGTTTTTCCTTATTTTTTTTTTAATTATTCATGAAAATAAACTTTTTGAAATTTGGAGAAAAATGTCTTTACAGAAACAAATTTCTTTTTTTGAGAGACACGTCTGAAAACACCTCCATGTGGTCAAACACTGCACCTAAAATGGGCAGAATCATTTCAGGCAATTTGAGAGAGAGACAAGGCGATGCCTCGTTGAAGGCAGCTGAACACTATTTGGCTACATATTAATAATAACAGATACTTAAAGGAGACATTTGGATATTTTAATGAAACAGTCTCAGATAAATTTTGCTACAGTGTAATGTGGCCCTGAGAAAAGGTAACTCCAATAAACTGTTAACGTTGTATCTGTATAAAAATTGATGAGGGATGTTCACATGCAGTTCTCTTCTTGAGTTTGCTGCTGAAGCAGATGCAGCCCCATATATATATATATATATATATATATATGCTGAAAAAGCCTTCTCTCAGAGCCCCGGAGGGACTAAATTTCTCTTATCAGATGTACACCCTGAGCAAAGGAACCAAGAGGCCACCTCTGCTACACAATCTCATCCTCACAGACTACCTCAAGGTCATCCCAAATAGATACAGAATTTGCTTTACTCCCCTGAAGACACTTTATCTGCCATGCCCTGACTGGGGTTGTTAATCACATTTTAGCTCAAAACCAACTCAAAACCACCCCATGATGTGTATTTCCTACACAAAGTCCTCACAATTGAGCTGCTGCAGCTCTTTCTCCAGTCACTTCTCACTGAACATCCAGCTCAGCAAACCTTTGGGAACAAGTATTGTGTTTATATTTTGTGACATTCCTCACCGAAGCCTGTACGGATGCCCCAATAATACATCATCCCATGGAGGAAACCCTATCACCGCAAAAGCTTCTGACCACTGAGTGAATACTACAATACGTCCCCTCTTTTCACATTTGCAGCGAAATGAGCGGCTGACCTGCAGCAGTGGCTGCGTGGTCTTTGTTACAGAGGGAGCCGGGACTCTCCCTGCAGCCCAGCAGCAGGAATTCTGTATTTCTCTGTGGCGGCCTGACCTCCATCACTGCCCCCCAGCAGGAACAAGCTATTTTTGGATGCTGTCAGCCATCTGTGCTCGATAAGAACTGCTCCACTCCTTTTGTAAGACCTCGATGCTAATTTACTCTTTTCTTTTTTTTTTCCTCTTTTTTTTTTTTTTTCCATGTTTTTATCTCCGAGTCCATAATTTCATTTCCCGGCCAGCCTCATCCAAGCGTCACTGCTTAGAGCCTCGGGGTTACTGGATCACCTCCGCGCTCGCTTTATATGTGCCTTTTCCCCCCCAACTCCTTTTTAGGATGTGGGTTTAGGGCTAAACTTTGCACCCCCATGGAGGAGGGGACACCCCAGGACGGGCCGCACTTCCCCTCACGGGGATTTCCCGCCCCTCCCGCCGGGCACGGACCGCGCATGCTCAGAACCGCCGGGGGGGGGCGGGCAGGAAGGGCGGAAGCGCCGCCGTCATTCCCGCCCAATGCGCATGCGTAAAAGGCGGGGCGGTGGCGGGCGCTGCGCACGCGCGGTGTGGCGGCCGCCAGGTTTGAACGGCGGGACGGTTGGAGAGGCGGGAGGAGCGTGAGGGGGGTCAGTGCCGGGGGCGACAATGCCCGGGGGGGACAATGCCCGGGGCGGACAATGCCCGGGGCAACGGGGGCGCAGTGCCGGAGGGTCAGTGGCCGTGCCAGCGGTGGTCAGTGCCCAGGGCAGCGGGAGGGGCCGTGGCCGGGGCTGGGTCAGGCCGGGCTGGGCTCCCTGCTTCCCCTCGGAGGAAGGACGCTCCGGGAGGCCCGGGTGTCCCGGGGGAGTCGCGGTGGTGGCTGAGAGAGGGGCGCTGGTGCAGGTGGAGAGGAGGGCGAGGGGTGTTTTCCAACCCTAGCTGCTCGGTAGAAAGGCTGCAGAAGAATCCAATGTTTGCGAAATAGAAAGATAAGTGTTGTTATGATCCTTTAAAATCTGTACACAACCTTGCAGGGGATCATGGCTTGTTGACTGATGACACTGACATGCACAATACAAGTAAGGAAAATAAAAATGCGCAAAACAAACTGAGGAGAAAACTGTTGGTTGTGTTATTCTATCTTTCTGGTTATGTTAATTTTTTGGCTCACAACGCTATCTAAAATTTTATCAGGTCATTTTTAAATTGAAAGGAGCTTGTGTTAATTTTTTGCCTTGTGGATTTTTTTCTTCCTTTTTCTAATGTAAGACAGAATAAAGTTTTGATACACTGTTGTCTGTGCATCTTCTGAGTATATTGTCTGACCTGTTGGAGGGCAGTCAGCTCTAAATTAGTTCTGCTGCATTCAGTCTAGTGTTATGCAGGATGCCTCTAAAACCTCTTTGTCAGGAAAATAAATGTTTCTTTTCTTGCAGGGAACCAGCTCTCTGATGTTCTTCAGCTGTTGGAGGTTGATCTCTTTTCTTGCCTAGTGAAGGACTGGATCTCGTGACAAATGAGGAAAATTCTCCAGTCTCAGCTGGGAGACTGAAAAGATGAATCAAATACGGAGTTCTAGGACCTCAAAGCGGCCTCTGGAGGTTGACCATAAAAGCCAAACTGATCTCTCTGCGTGGCGAAAAAGAGAGAGAACTGACCCTGAAAAAAGTTCCCAGAATCATCAGTCTCTTGGAGGTCAGAAAAATGATATCAATCAGAAAAACGACGTCAGTGGGAAAAACGACAGCCAGGAAGTCTCCCTGGAGAAAGCTTTGAGCTACTTTGAGAAAGGTAAGAGCACTTTTAAGGTTGGCTCTCTAAGACTGAAAACATAATAATTACATTCTTAATAAAAAGAATGATAATAATATAAAAATAATCTATTTTACGTCTGGTTTTCCTCTTCAATGCCTGAGCTATGTAATATTTTTTTAATGTATTAAAAACTTTCTGTCACTACTATGTAAAAAAAAAAAGGAATATCATAGAATCATGGAATGGTTTGGGTTGGAAGGGACCAAACTCCTGCCATGGGCAGGGACATCTTCCACTATCCCAGGTTGCTCCAAGCCCTGTCCAACCTGGCTTTGGACACTTCCATGGATAGGTCATCCACAGCTTCTCTGGGAAACATGTGCCAGGGCCTCACCACCCTCACAGTAAACATTTGTTTCCTAATACCTAATCTAAGTCTACTTTCTGTCACTTTGTATCTATTCCCCCTTGTCCTGTCACTACATGCTCTTGTAAAAAGTCCTTCTCCATCTTTCTTAATAAAAATAATAATTTTAAAGTAATCTAATTTTACTTCTGTATTCCCTCTTTAATCCCTGGGGTATGTAAATGTTTCTTTAATGTCTTGAAAGTTCTTCCCCCTCTTATTACTGTGTAAAGAAAAAGGAGTATACGTAGGGGCAGTTCAGAGAAGCTTAAAGCTCATTTTCGTTTCGGAAGTTGTTACATTCCCGTGTTTGTCTCATTTGTTTTTCCTAGTTCAAGGCCGTGTTTCCCTGAGAAACAACAGTGCTCTGCAGAAACACTTGGCTGCTGTGGAAAGCATTGCCCTGCAACAAGGGCTGCCCCCTGAAGCTTTTGAGATACTGTTGAACGTGGTGCTCAGTGGCAAATTTGGTAAAACCTTTATGTATTGCTGGTGTATCTTCTGTGAACGTCTCCTTCCCCTCCAATCAAACCTGCTTCAGATAATGTGTTTGTGGTGGCTGTATTGTTGGGTACTGTAGTGTAAAATTAATTTTTCTGGCATGCCTTGGTGTAAAAAACTAACCTCGGTTCTTGCTCCAGAGGAGTGGTGCCCAGTTAAATATTATGGCTTGTTACAGATTTTGTTTTAAATTTTTTTCCTTTGTTCATAATTGCAGGTTTCCGAAAGGCTTGAATTGTGCCCTCACCAAGCATTGTGTTTTTTCTTTGCTGTAATTGTTTGTGTAGGTTTCACTTCCCCAAGATCAAAATAACTAAACAAACTGACATAGTTGTGTCAGTGAAAGTTGCTAAAATTAGGTTGTCATCCCCACAGTCAATTCAGCAGTCAGTGCAGCCCTCGTGCTGCTTTCTTAG